CAGTACTGGTGTCTTTAACGCTCATGATTTCAGTACTGGTGTCTTTAGCGCTCATGATTTCAGTACTAGTGTCTTTAACGCTCATGATTTCAGTACTGGTGTCTTTAACGCTCATGATTTCAGTACTGGTGTCTTTAACGCTCATGATTTCAGTACTGGTGTCTTTAACGTTCATGATTTCAGTACTGGTGCCTTTAACTACGTTCATGATTTCAGTTTTGGTGTCTTTAACGTTCATGATTTCAGTTCTTGTGTCTTTATCGTTCATGATTTCAGTATTGGTGTCTTTAACGTTCATTATTTCAGTCTTTAACGTTCATGGTTTCAATAAATTGTGTAGTTAAATGCTCAGTATTACAGTAATAGTGAGAGTTTAACGTCGTTTAACACTCACAATTTCAAGTAAAGTGTGGGTTGAAAGCTTATTTCAACACTGCAACTGTAAGAAATGGTCTGGTATGGTTTATATATCGCCCCCGTTAACACTATTAGGTTATTTGAGAAGCAGGACCTCCGAGTTTAACGTCCATTTCCGAAAAGACCGAGCCAAGCGGGAAGTTCGCGTAAAGTGCCTTTCCCAAGGACATAACGTCGGCCCGAGCTGAGGCTCGAACCCAGGAACCCGTTACTGTAAGTACAACTGTAAGTCCTTCTTGAAAGCAACGAGGCCACCAAAATGTAACGTCCGTCTCCGATATAGGGTCAAGTCAAGTAGGGTGGAGAGCCTGGAAAACTGCCCAGTTCTCACAAGGTGGACAACGCCTCCATTGAGGATGACGACGACGTGTCTTCTGGTACCTTGCACAGAACGTATCCGGAGACGTTTCAGACAGAGATAGACCAATCAAAATGATTTGTACCCCTGGACCAAGGAAGAAAAATCTGGGGGGTTACAGGGGGTTTGGGTGGGGGATGCCCCCTGTTTTAACACATAATTTAATGTTTTGCAGCTAGGTTTGAAATTTTCTTTTAAAATAATTGATTTGCGACAGTTTTAGTGGCTATATGTGTGATCTGCAGCAAACAATACGCAGTTTGACCCCCCCCCCCCCCCTCAAAGCAATGCATCTGTGTGCGGGAGTGCGTCTCCGAATAGTTCCTGTGTGATTGCCGGAGACATCTCCGAATATGTTCTGCCAGCTCCTTAACCTAGCATAATGCTGTACCAACCACACCAACAACGGGGCTGTGGGGTTTTGAGAACTTGTCATTCACTTTGCTGATGATTTTAAAAAACTCTTCATGCACTGATATTTATCATAACATAACTATGTATTGTGCAGGCTACTGCAGGTTTAGCTATACATTATTCTATATACATGCATACTTATACATATATATATATATATATGTGTGAGTGTGTGTGTGTGTGTATGTATCATAATATGTGTGTGTGTGTCTGTCACACACA